GTCCCTTGCAGCGGGCAACCTGGAGGAGGTTGACGAGTGCCCCAATTTTGCCAACCGATGGTCAGGGCAGTGAGTGGTGTGTGTGTGTATACTATACACCCGAGACTTTAACTGCTGAGACCGGGTTCCCTTTATGACCGGCTGAAGTTCTTTTAAAATGGTGCTTGGTTCTATTACAGCAACTGAAGGAGTCAGGTTAAAGCTTAAACAGTTACAGGTTTATTGAGGAAGCTTATAAATCATATGGTTACAATGGCTATTGTTCTATTTCTTAACTACTAGCAAAATATAGATCTTAAAAATGGTTATAAAGAAGATAAAGATAAGAAAATAGAAATAATAGTACCAAGTAACAGCTTACTCTTTCTATGTGTACACTTAAGACAGAGGACCACATCCAGGTACAATTTTTACCCCCTTCTGTGCCTCTCGACTCCAGCATGTTAGGCCAGGGCCGGTCCCTCAATTCCTAGGAAAGACAAAAATACGAGGTGGGCGTCCCCATAGAACCTCGGGAGGTCAAACACCTAACCCGACCAGCAGGTAGAGGGTAGAATGACACTCAAAAGAGAGTGTGCTGCTGTACCACCTTATATACCCATGGGGTCATGTATTTCTCTTTCTTATCTGTAATGCCAATTGATGCTGGTCTGTCTGCTGTGAGACCAGTTCTTACAAGGGAGTTGTGAACTTAATTTACACTTGTAAGAGAGATAACTAAATTGGAATTACTGAGCATTCTTTTCTCAGTGGGAAATTCCTCTTCCAGGGACTGTGTGTGTGTTCGAATCAACATGGGTGCCAGCCGGGGGCAGTTCTCGCAGCCTCGAGGCCAGCTTATTGACTTAATCGCTCTCTCTCCACATATCTGTGGTTTTTTTCAGCTTCTCAGGATCAGATGAGCCAGCATAGACTATGCTGATTTTCTTGCTCCTTCTCTGTCCTGTATGCTTCAGGAACCTCAGAGAGGCAAATAAGATGGATGTGATGGGGGGGGCGGGAGAGGGTGTCTGTCTGGCTACAATCTACCAACACACTTGTAACTGCTTTCAAGAAAATCTGTTGGGGGAGATGTTGTTCTGAACTCGGCTCCTCTGTAGATGCACATACAACTAACTCCCAAAAGACAATGCCACTGAGTAGATCCTGCACTGAATGCTGATCTCCTGTGGATGCATGGGTGGCTTCCAACTGAAAGTGCTCATGGGCAAATCCCTGCACTGAGCATTGCCCAGCTGAATCTGATGCTGCTGACAAAGACAGCTTAAAGGAGACTCTGTTGAACTCCAGCCACCTGCCAGCTCATCTTTAATTTCTGCAAGAAGTGCCAAAATGAAGCGCTGTGTTGAGCGGAGGTGGGCAGTAATTTCTGATGGGGGATGGCCACTCCAAGAATTTGGTAAATGGTCACAGGCTGCACTTTTCTAAGATATTTATGGAGGAGATGCAGGGTCTGGGATGGAGGTTAGGTGCAGAAGGGAACTCAGGGTAGAGGACTTGGGTGCAGGAGAAGATGTGGAGTCTGGAAGGGAGTTTGAGTGACAGAGGGGGTTGTGATCTGAGGCAGGGGATAGGGGTACAGAGTTTGGGAAGGGGGTTGGCTGTCATAGCTCCACACACTGCTCAAAGCAGCTGGCTGCTGGGGCCAGTGTGTGTATATCTCTGCGCTATGCCTCTTGGGGAGACGGAACAGTGGTTCTCCCTGTGCTGCACACTTGCAACCACTGCCTCTGCAGCTTCCATTGGCCAGTTTCTGGACATTGGGAGTTGCAAGGATTGTGGACAAAGTTAATTTAACTTGGGTGCTTTGTTCAAGGAGTTGAATTTCAAGTTCCTAAGCTTCAGGGGTTTTTTTTAACTCTGATTTTCTTGAAAGGCAATACATGGTCAAACAAAGTGTACCACAGTCCAAACTTCATCTTATCAAAGCTTTTTGCATAGCAATATAGGTTTCAGTGTCCTGAAGAATGTATGAATAGAAGCATGTTCTTACAAGTGAAACGTTGTGAAGGGTAGCTGATTCTACTACATGACTGCAAGGTCAATAAGCATTGAAAGTCAAAGGGACTTATACTCCTAAGTCATTTAAGTGCTTTTAAGAATGGGATTTTGGTTCCTAAGTAAATTAAATGATTTTGAAAATGTTACCTAATGGAGAACACCTCCATTATCAAAGGAGAATGAAGGTTGGTTTCAAATCTGTCATACAGCTACTACCAGAGGCTGATCAGAAAGGTGGAGTCCTTGAGCAGGGAACAGAGTTAGCACCCTGACAGGAATCCTAGCACAACATCTATTTACTGGCCTTCATCACAATAGCACCTGAGCTTCTTCCTAATAACTGGAATAGTGAGAGTCTGTTTTCACCAGGGCAGGGACCTCCTGACTCTAGTTGGTGACTCTTGTTTTTGTATGGCCTCTGACTTGTAAGCACATACGTGTGGGAAGTAGTGGTGGGGAGGTGCTACAGCATTCCCAGGTTTTTGCAATTGGCTTTCCGAAGGGAGACGGGCTACAGCCAGGTGTACCCGGTTGCTGCTTGCTCTTCTTTCCATTCCCTTGACTATCAGAGAGCGAAGGGAAAGTACAGGCAGTCCCCGGGTTACGTACAAGATGGGGACTGTAGGTTTGTTCTTAAGTTGAATCTGTATGTAAGTCGGAACTGGCGTCCAGATTCAGCCGCTGCAGATTGGCTTTCCGAAGGGAGACGGGCTACAGCCAGGTGTACCCGGTTGCTGCTTGCTCTTCTTTCCATTCCCTTGACTATCAGAGAGCGAAGGGAAAGTACAGGCAGTCCCCGGGTTACGTACAAGATGGGGACTGTAGGTTTGTTCTTAAGTTGAATCTGTATGTAAGTCGGAACTGGCGTCCAGATTCAGCCGCTGCAG